AGGAGGGGGCAGTCAGGGGACAAGGAGCAGGGAGGCTTAGGTAGGGGGTGGAGTCCTGGGGGGCAGTTAGGGGCAGGGGTCCCGAGGAGGGGGCGAGGTCAGGGGAGTAAGGGTGTGGGGGGGAGGGTTGGGTGTTCTGAGGGGGCAGGAAGTGGGAGGGAGTGGAAGGGACAGGGGCGGGGCTAGGGCAGGACAGGGGCGGGGCTAGGGCAGGACAGGGGCGGGGCTCCTCCCGTCCTCTTTTTTGATTGTTGAAATATGGTAACCCTATTGCTTGCGATTGGACCATATGGGTAAGAAATGTAAATAACTTTCACCCCTGCCCAAGCCCCAGGACTCCCAGCTGCCTCTGCAACTGGTAGCTCCGGGGGTGATTTAACGGGCCTGGGGCTCCTAGCTTCAGCCGGATCCCCGAACCCTTTAAATCCTGATTTAAAAGCCCCGGGGTTTTAAAGACCCCACCTCTTCCGGTAGAGGCCATGCCTCTTCCAGTTGAGGCCCTGCCCCCTCCGCAGGACTCTGGAGTACCGGTAAGTCTTTTAAGTTACTTTTACCCCTGCTGCTGGGCCTGATTGAGTGCTTCCCAGATGACTCCAAATCAGGCAGAGCTGGCATGTGAACGTGACCTCACAGGCTGGGGTCCTAACCGCCCAGCTATAATGTCAACTACTCTGTTCCTCTTTCCCAGCCCCCAAAAACCTTGCCGAGGACACACCGAGGTGCAAATGTCCCAGCCAGCTCTGCTCCTGCCCCGACACTCAGCAGAGAGGCCAAGGAAAGACTCCGCCTCAGCCCTAGAAGGGGATCCCTCCAGGGCAAGTCTGGCCCCCACTGGTGGGCCTGGGGAAGCTTTCCTGATTGGCGCCTGCTGTGTGTATAAATGCAGGACTTCTGTCAAGCCAGCCCCTGACCTGTGTATCCTGAACCACGCCCAGCTCCCGTGAGTGCACCTGGTTCTACTCACTCCTGGGCTGCGCTGGACTCTGGGGACACGGGGTGCACAGGGCTCATTGGCAAACCGTGCCCCAGAGGAAAAGGGCGCTTCTGGGCACTGCCAGGCCATGGGCACTGACTGGGTGTTAGGCGTCGCTGAGTCACCCGCGTCACTGACGGCCACGTGTGCTCTTCCTTTGCAGAGTGGCTTTAACGGAGCAGGACGTGGAGGTAAGCTCTGCCCTTCGGCCGATCAGCCGTGGCAATGAGAGACCGATGCTCCCGAGGACTGTCCCCTCTAGCTGCGTGTATGGGCTTTCATTACCCAGGCTGCCTCGTGCATCTCCCCCTCCAACCCAGACTGTGTGGTGCATTCTCATGAGGCCAATGGCGACAGTGAATGGGTTAAACCAGGGTCCCTTTATGCAGTGTGAAATAGGGTTACAGCCTGGAACAGTCCCCTTGGGTCAGCGCCAGGATTCGGGGCATCAGTCTGGTATAGGAGGCCACTGGCCAGAGTGGTGCTGAAGTTTAGCAATGCTCACCTCTAGGTGACAGGTCAAATCCAGCAGTGACCAGAATTGGTTATTACGGCCATTTGAAGGCTGTTGAAGTTGCCCTGCCCCAGGAACCCCCTTGTTTTGCAGGCTCACCAATTCACGATCTCAGTAGAGACACCAAGGATTGGATGGTCTATATTTTACAGACAGGGAAAGTGAGGCACAAGAGGCGAAGCAACCTGCCCAGGGTCCCAGAGCCAGGAACAGAACCTAGAGTTCCTGACTCAGTGTCCTGGCCCAAAACCACAAGCTCATTCTTCCGCCTTTCGTTCTTATCTGAATTCCCCTAGCCGTTTCAACCACATACAGAAATGCTTCACTTCCCCTCCTCCAAACAGTGGCCTTGACGCATGCATTTAAACTACTGCTGTGTTCCAGCCCAGAGCTGGCTGCATTTTAGTCCTAAATGAAGTGATCCTTCCGTGCACATATACAGTACATGGTAATGCTATCAAGTGCTCTGAGCCTTGCAAAAGCAATGCACACACGGTCCAGGATCCCAGCTGTGTGAGCAGTCCTAGCTGCACTGATGTGCTGGTTAAAGGGCCCCATTCCCTTCTCCCTTTACCCCAGTGTAAACCCACTGGTGTGAGACTACAGTTGGGCACATGTAGAACAGAGCGGGCTGCACAAACAGCTCCCAGCACTTCCCGTTGCCTGCTGGAGCAGAGCAGGAGGGTGAGCGCTGAGGGGTGGGGCGGTGCTGGAGCTGTCCAGGAGGGGTCGGTGGGATTGAGGGATGCACCCAGAAACGGGCTGGGGTAAAATGGGAGAAGTGGCTTCCCCTGGCTCTACCAAAGGAATCAACCCAAACCTATTCCTTTCCCTGTGCCCAGAAACACCTGCCCAGCTCTGCCCTTAGTGCCCTGCTCATAGTCACATACAGAGTCCCTGTCCTTTGTTGATGTGGATCAGAGATGACCTCTGACCCCTGCCCTGTTCTCCCCTCTGTAGGCAGCGTTCGCGCACTTAGCCCTGGCCTTCCGTTGCGACATGTTCACCCTGCGGCGGCGGGTGCAGGTGGAGGAGCGGGCGCGGAACGTGGCAGAGGAGAACATTCAGCAGGAGCTGGAGGAGTGCCGGGCAGCACTGCAGGTCAGTGGGGCCGGGTTCGGGGTGCCTTGCTGGGGAGGGTGATCCTGGCTGAGTGTGCCCCATGGACAGCCCGGTGCTCGATTTCGATCTGATCCCAGTCCTGTTGACCAGTCTCCCAAGTGGGGAGCAGGCGAGGTCAATCGTTGTTGCCCTACAGGTGCTGATGACGCAGATTCTCTTGTCAGTTTTAAGGCTCCCCTTGCGGGGGGGTTTCTTTCGCTGGGAAAGGTGCTGACTCCTGCATGGCCATCACTGTCACGCCCTGCGCTCCGGATCGCCCGGCTTCGGATGTGGCCGCTGGTGCGTTCCAGGGCAGAGGGAGTCATCTCCAGCCTGGGGAGTTGGCTGGTCATGCCACTGGCAATGGGATCCCAAGCCTTTCGCTTTGAGGCTGTTGGTTCGAATCCCGCCCCGTTGGGGCAGTGGCCCAAAGCAGCCAGTGTGCGATTTAGCCTGTGGACCCCAGCTCAGTTCCTACTGGCGAGCTGTTCGCATCCTAGCACCTTCCTTCAGCGCTGGCATCTTCAGCAGAGAGGCTTGAACGCTTCCACCTGAGGACGTCCCGCCGGGGCAGGTGGCCAGGTTCTCAGCTGCTGTGAATCATTGAGCTTCCATTGCAGTTGTGGTGACTCCCGCTGGCCTTAGCAGTGATCTGGCTCAGTGGTGGGAGCTGGTCCTGCTGCTGCCTGGGCTGTCCTGCTCCATGGATAGGGGACATGAGGTTCTCCTCTGGCCGCATCCACCAGCACTGGATGAACGGCTGGCCTGTCGGTGTGGAACTGGCTGGACGCGGTGTCCTAGCCCGGCTGGGGCATCTCCTGGGCTGAATTCTTTGCAGTCTGCTGCTATTCTAGTCCAGCGAGGGAGGGGCCTGGTTCCTGTGCAGATCATGCAGAGCTGCTGCTGGTTTCCCCCCCACAGAGGCTGGGCCTGTCCTGCGTCGACCCCAAGCGCAAGGAGCTGGTCAGGCAGTTGCAGCAAAGCCTGACGGTGCTGGTGGGGTCTGTTGAGCGGGCGATGAGCGCAGCAGAGAAGCTGGGGGCCGTTCATCAGGTGGGTCCAGCAGTCCAAGAGCCCAGGGTGGGAGGGTGTCCAGGCAGCTCCCCCAGCCCAGTAGTGGAAGCCCCATTGATGGAGAGCATGGTACAGGGGACCAATGCTGCATTGACCCCCGGGAGCAGGGAGTTTCAGCGCCATGAGGCCAACCCATGCTGAGCTCTATAGAACCTGCTCTCTTGGGCTGGCTCCATGGACCCTGGTCCCCAACCTCCTCAGCTAGCTGGCAGATCCACCCCTGGGCTTGCTGGCATTAGTGACAGCTCCTCTCCTAGGCTGGCCAGCACAGGGGCAGTTGCTAACCAGGTACCAGCTGACCTGTTACCTCGCATCCTCTTAGCTCCTGCCCCAGCTCCCACCTCGCTTTGTCTTCCTGCTGCTCGCTCCTGGGTCCCAGATCCTCCTCGTGCCTGAATCCAGCTGGCCAGGGCAATGGAATCCTGCCTTCCTCTGCCCCTGGCTGTCGGGAAAGCAGAAAGGGGCTAATCTGAACATCAGCTGGCCCACGGGAAGCACATGGGAGTCCTTAAGATGACGATGCAGCGGTGGATGTTCGTGTTCAAGGAGCTGGGGGTGGGGAGGGCCAAGGGGGGAGGGAGCCCCTGGGAGGCCTTCGGGCTGTTTGAACAGCGTTGCTTTGGGCTCTGTTGGTTGGCTAATGGGTCTGCTCCCATTAAAGTCAGTGCTCTTATCAGGGCTCTGCTTGAGCTCTGACGCCGTGGTGACGGGCATGGTCTAAGAACCCGAATAGAACCAAAAGGGGTGGCAGCTGCCCAGGGAGGGTGGCTCAGGCTTTGTAGCATTGGCCCTGCCTGGTGGCCTGATCCCGCTCCCCCCTCTTTGCCTCAGGAGGCGCGGATGAGCCGGGCGGCAGAGGTGATGGTGCAGCACGTGGAGAACCTGAAGAGGCATCACTTGCGAGAGCACACGGAGCTGGAGGAAATGAAGCGGCTGATCCAGCAGAACTCCCGCAACTGGCAGCTGGCTGAGAACAGGGGTGCCATGGGCATGGGTGCTGGGAGGGAGCGTGGCCTAATGGTTAAAGCGCAAGGCTGGGCGTCCGGACTCCTGGGTTCTGTTCCTGGCGCTGCCGCTGACTCACTGCGTGACCTTGGGCAAGTCGTTTGGTCCCCAACAGCCTGTGTGGTCTGAGTCCATTTCAGCCCAGGGAGGCACATGCTAGTCATTTTGCTCCCACTTGCACCAGGAGTCCACCTGGTCCCTGGCATCCACGTGCCACTGGTGACAGCTGTTGGCTGCAGTCACAGGGCCAGATGCCTAAATCACAGAAGGGCCCTATCGGGAGGGCTAACTGTGACTCCAGCTCTGAGTGCCTGCGAGTCCCCGGTCCTGGCCGCAGCGGGTAGGCAGGTAGCCCAGCTGGGAATGCAGCAGCGTGTGGGGTCAGCGCTAGAGGCCTTGTGGCCCAGAGGCAGGGGGTGCAATGCATCTGCTGTCTCCTCCTCCGCTTCCACTCCCCAGGCGCTTGTGTGGGAGGCTCTGGGATTCCCTGGCTGAGCAGCTCTCTGCCTTGCGAGTTACCGGGGCTGCGACCATCCAACCAAACGGACCTTTGGGACAACAGCCCGATGTCTGTCCCTGCTCCGTCCACACTGAGCTTCTCCGTGGGGCAAATTCCCCCATAAGCCACTGGGGACGCAGCAAGTCTACAGAGCTCAGGAGGAGAGCGGGGCAGCAGGGCACTGGGCAGGCCTGGGTGGTTGGTATGCGGGTGGGAAGATGGAGCTAGTTGCCCAAGGCGTGAGAAGCTATCAGGCCACCTCTGGAGCCACCCCCACCCCTTTGTCTCCATAGATGACAGTGAGCAGAGACTGAAACTGCCCCTGATGCGAACGTTCCAGCAGGTAATGAGTGCACCTGTCCCCCAGCCCCCTGCCCACCGCTCCATGGGCCCGTCTCAGGCAGGGCTGTCCAGCTCCAGTATCCAGAGCGAGAGGCAGAGACTTGGCTAGAAGGAGGTGGTTCTCTGGCAACAGTTTGAACATAACAGCGATTTCCCCTTGCAGCTCGAGGTTGGGGGAGGGGTGTGTGTGACAGGCACTGGGCCAGGTCCAGGCTGGATGGCGGCCTCCACGGGTTAGTGTAGGGAGGTAGAGTGGGACAGTTACAAAGCCTTTCCTGAGGTTGTAGGTGTGGGGGATGGTCATGGGCCTCTGCCTGGCCTTTAATCTTCTCTTGGGGGTAGCGCAAACGTTGCCCTTGCAGCTGAAAATGCAAGGGCCATTAGTGGCCCCACAGTGAGCCCAGAGGAGGGTTGGCTTGGACCGACTCTTGCACCCACAGCATCGGGGATGGTACGGGTGATATCCCCTCCCCCCACATAATGCAGTGCCACTCCCGCTGGCAAGCAGGGGGGAGTTAAGGAGAGGGTGGCTGGGGGACAAGGCTGGCAGGACCCTTGAGTAGGAGCTGTGCCCTATGGGGAAGTTAGCGCCCATGGTCCATTTGGCTGCCTGGAGCAGAACGGGGGACTCAGCACTAACTGAGCTTCCCCTCCCTCCATCCCAGGCGTCCGCACGTCGGAGAGTCAGCATCGCAGTCATTCCCAAACAGCTCACGGTATGGAATCCCGCTGCACACCGGCTGGGGCAAAGCCGTGCATGGGATTGCGCCTGCTCATGTTGTACCTCCGGGCGCTGTCACATCATGTTCCTGTACCATCAGCCCACTGCATGCCTGTTCATGAACGCTCAGGCTGGACAAGCTCACAGGCTCACTGCCACGTACTGTCACGCAGCCAGGGCCGGCTCTGGCTTTTTTGCCGCCCCAGGCAAAAAAGCTTCCCGCCGCCCCCTTGGCAGGGGAGGGCACCGAGCCCGGCCGCAGGCCACTCTCCCCGACCGGCCAGAGTGCCGGGGGGAGGGCGGCGAGCCTGTCGCAGTTCTGCTGGTGGCCGGAGCCCCGGGAGGAGGGCGGAGAGCCCGGCCGCGGCTCCGCTCTCCCTGGCGGCCAGAATGCTGGAGGGAGGGCGGCGAGCCCGCCGCGGCTCCGCTCTCCCTGGCGGCCAGAGTGCTGGAGGGAGGGCGGCGAGCCCGCCGCGGCT